AAAAAAAAAACCTCAACAATATAGTGAACATCTGGATTATTCATCTTTCTGCTCCCTTCCTCCAGCTTCGCAAACTAATGAAAAGTAGCTGAACTGGACGGGGGAAGTCCCAGGCACACAACTCTTTTGCAAACTAAAAGCAATTTTTTTTTGAGACGGAGTCTTGCTCTGTCACCCAGGCTGGAGTGCAGTGGCATGATCTCGGCTTACTGCAACCCCCTACTCCCAGGTTCAAACAATTCTGCCTCAGCCTCCTGAGTAGCTGCAATTATAGGTGTGCACCACCACACTCAGCTAATTTTTTTCTATTTCTAGTCGAGGCGGGGTTTTGCCATGTTGGCCATGTTGGTCTCAGACTCCTGACCTCAAGTAATCAACCCCCTTGGCCTCCTATGGGATTATAGGTGTTAGCCACCACGCCCAGCCACTAAAAGGAATTTCTACACCTGAGACTTTTTCCATGCCCTACACTAAGCTGAGATTTTTTTTTTTTTGGGGGGGGTGTTGTTTTTGGTGGGAAACTGTCATAAATGTGACTTGTTAGGATAGATTGACTAATATATAAAACACTGAAGCAATTACCCCCTCCCTGCTTGCATGGCAAAGTTGTCCTCCTCAAAAGGGCTGAGAAACTGATTTCCACAGCCAGCCAGTAGAGTGTGGAGAACTTGGCAAATCACGAATGAACAGCCTTCTGTCATCGTTTGGAAACCCCTCCCCTATCCTAGTACAGTCAGGCTCCACAAGCTACAAATACCATCCATGAGATTTGGCTGCTGTGCACGACGCCACGTTGCTTGGGCTGGTGGCATATTTTGGCTTGTGCGATGGAAGTCCATGGGCTTATCTAAAAAAGGAAAAAGTTACTCTTATTTTCTCCAGGATAAAGCTGAATTAACTGCCGCACAGTAACTCTGCTGCATCACTTCTCTTGGCAGCGGAAGGGAAATTAAAAGTCTCTTAAGAATCAGCTCCTGTGCCTTAATAGTGCTGGGGGTCATTTAAACTACCCAGAGACCAGGTTGTCACCTTAAACGAGTTTAGGAAGCCACCGAGTATTCTGTGGCAGACCTTTTCTTCTGGCCAGTCCTTTTTATGCTTACCTGTGAGAATCCTTGAAATAGGATACCCAGAATACCTATAAAGTGGCCACACAGATGAAGCTTTTTTTTTTTTTTTTT